AAAAAAAAAAAAAAAAAAAAGAAAATAAAAAGATAAAAAAGAGTAAGCTCCCTTGAAATCTAGCGTATCTATTTTATTGTTAGATATATTATATATAATTAAATTATAGGTCACCATGACTATGCTCACTCAAGCACATTTACTCTGTAAATCATCTTCAATACCTCTATAAGCTGCCGGTACCAGAACTCCTATTGTTATAAATCACTGCCGATGGCTGGAAGATGAGGTGCAGAGGTTCACCACTCCTGAACTCCCCCTGCTTTCCTATGAATCTTACCAGCACCTTCAATGGCCACAGAGACGCCTCAGACCCATGAGCGGCAGCCTCCATCCGTCCTGTCATGCAATGATGATTTTTGCCGTTGACCCCGGCCGCGAGGAACCCGAGGAGCCCTCGGGGAGAGCTGGAGGAAGCCATACCTGGACCCTGCAGGGAGACCACGGGCCCAGCAGCCAGCTGTAGCAGGGCTTCACCGGGCAGCTCCTGTGCTGGGTGAGCTGCTCGGGGCAGGGTCTGCCCTCGCCCACTGCCCGCAGGACCACCGAGCGCCCACGCACCATCTGGCCTAGGCGAGGGGAGAAGACAGGACATGGTGAAGGACACCCGCAGGAAGAAAGGCAGGCGGATTTTGTGATTTATCAGCATTCCTAGCTCATTTTCCACCACTAAAAACTGTTAAAAAAAGCAATTAATTGGGAAGACTACTTGGGTATTATGGATGCAATTGTTAAGTCTAAGTGATGCCGTCACCGATATTTTCAAACACATTTTTTAAACACAGTTTTGTGTGTTTTCCAAATACATTATTTGTTTATGCAACACATTTAAATACTTGACTAAATCCTGACTATTAAATATGACAAGAAAATAATTCCTGTGGCAGCATAGTTTCTAATGTTACACATTCAATATGTTTCCAGAGATTTTTAACAAATGAAATTTTCTTTTTATGACCAATTACGTGCATCTAATTTGAAAACTGCAAACACACTAGTGGCTATTACCGTCCATAACCACTTCTGCCATTTCCATTAAAATCCTATTTATTATTGGTGAAAACTTCTTCAACCACTGAATGGAAAAAGCAATTATGTTACTACTTTTGAAATAATAAAACTGAATATATTCATTAAAGTTACAGCAATTCCATTTCCATCTCCTTTGCTGTCCATTTACTTCCAGGAATGTTTTCACTCAAAATGTTTCAATTAGAATCCCGGCTCCAATTAAAAAGAAAAGTGAGGGGAAAAAAAAAAAAAAAAAGCCCTTATGCAACGGGATGCAGAAGATAGTGCTGGGGATAAAATTTCTGTCTTGACTTTCAACAGGCATGGATTTGAGAGTTGGTTAAAAAAATAAAAAGTCTGGGTAATAAGGGCACACACCTACACGAGAGACGCGAGCCGTAATTGCTATCTCAGTGGAACGGAAAGCGGAGATGTGTGGCGGCGGAGCGCTCCCATTTGTATCGCAGCCATTCAGCTGCAATCGCGAGTAGAGGAGAGTCCGGGGGGGAAGCAAAACCCCCTGCGAAGCGCTATTCAGCCAGATCATTTATGCTATTTTTTGTATTATCCCAGCTATTTATGCTCGCATTTTTTAATTAACGGTCCTGCAGCTGGCTTTAAGGTACGTTGCTAATAACTGCTATCGTGACTGTCTACGGAGCAGGGTTTTCCAAAATGATTTTTGCATATAAAAATGAAAAGCAGACACGCCTGAAAAAGCTACCAATGGATACCTTAGCAAGCTCTCTTACCTTTACAATGCTATTCCCTTGCTCTGACCCATTGAATTCCATTTTTAAACCCATTTAAGCCAATTTTAAGACGACTTCTTTTTTCCTCTTCTACTCCCCTGGACCTGGGGAGTTTGTAACAGGAGTGATGATAAAAGCTCTGATCCACATGACTGTGCATTCAGCCATCACAGAATCAGACACATTAGGAGGCGGAAAAAATTCCTACCAGCTGAGAGGAAAGGAAAGGTAAGAAACTCCTGCGGTTCACAGGGGTCAGAGCAAGGGAAGAGAAGCCCCCCAGCGCGCTGCCGGCAAACCCCACGGCAGCCCTCCCCTGCCCAGCAGGCCAAAATCAGCTGCCTCTTCCTCTCCAGCAATGGACCAAATTTGGCAGATTCTCCTTAATTCTGAATGCTGCGGACTGTAAGCAATGGGCAAGGCTCTCTGGGAAACCGTGGAAATCCCCTGGCTGCGGGGTTTTTTGGGATGCCCTGGGGCAGGCGGCTCACCCTGGCCAGGGAGCTCTGCGGCCCCGCCAGGCACAGGCTCCCGAAACGGCAGCTACGGAAAAGGACACCTCCTCAGCTTAAAAGATCTGATTTCATTAGGAGGGACTTGAAAGCCTGAAGCATTCATCAAGCTATTTTAATTAAAGAAATAATTTCCCTTCGTACACTCTGTTTAACATCTTTCTAGCAAAACGTAAAGGGGAAGATCACTGAACAGAAAACACGACTTTCCTTTTAAGAGGAATTAACAACCCTTCTGTTTTTATTTACATTTCATTTTCCTATACTTGGTTATCCAAACCATCCAAACTCACTACATCACAATGGTCAACTCATTTAGCCTATTGCTTTCTTTTTATGCTGCGAATAAATCATCGAAAAAAGAAATTTCATTGAAATCTTTTAATCATTGCAGTCAGTTTCTTAAAGTTCTGGTTTTTTTTTCTCACTCCATAAACATTATCTAGGTGCCCAGTTACCACTCAAGTAACAGAAGAACTCCCCATTTTTACTTTTTAAATACCTTATCTTATGCTGCCTATGGGGAACAGAATCTCACTGCATCTGAAATTATTTTTCTTCCAATACAAACTCCAGAAGAGTCAAAGCAATCCTAGTTGTTTCTTTAATTTCCCAATGAATTTTTTTTAATTTCCCCATGAATTGGCCACATCTCTGTTTCTTCTGCTCTGCAGTGTCAAATGATACAAAAATTAAGACAGAAAGTGTGCTGAAAATTGAAAATAAGTATTTCTTCGTATCCTCAAATCTGTCACTAGTTTTGAAAAGAGGAAAAAAGAGGCTTAATGGGGGTCACTTAAAATCCTGTTTTGCATCAGCGGTTAAAATTTCATCTCAGAAACATAGGATCATATTTTCAAATCAGAAGAATAACATTTTTTTACCACAAAAATAAATCTTGCCATTCCTTGCATTTTATCCCCACAAAGCGATGCATTGCAGCTGAAACCAAGATGATTAAAAACCCTGCTAGAGTTCATCCCAGTCAAAATTACTGACACGTCCTTATCTGTTTGATGAGCGTGAGCAGAGCACATCAAACACAACCCTATCAAGCAACCGCAAGACCAGAGCAGGAATCAAGTTACTTAAATACAGCCCTGGAGGTCAGGTTAGGCCAAGTCACAAGCAAAGGGCACTGGTGATAAACGGGGCTTTTCATCTGCTTCCCACCTTGCCAGTCCCACCAGCAGGCACTGGGGCATCCACAGCTCTAGGAGAGGTTTTGGTGGCCCCTCTTCCAGCAATGCCTCCCAGCACCATCAGACTGGAGCTGAACGAGTTTGAGCAGCAAGAGAGAAAAAGTTGTAATGGTTTCTTCTTCAGATGGCAAAACCAAAAATGCTTTCCCAAACTGGTGATGAATCAGTGAAAAACATAACCACCAGGTTTTTCAGTCGTGCACGTCCTTGTCCCCCTCACTTCTGTCCCAAGGGTCAGCCTGGTGTTGGGGCGCACGTGTCTGCAACGCGCTACCGTCTCTTCTGGGCTCTGAGGACTGAGCAAGGCACGGCAGCGTGTTCAACCCTGGGTAAGTCCCATAATTTATCCGATGAAGTCAGCTTTATAAGTGGCAAAGCATGGGTTTAGGTGTTCCTATACTATTTAGCACTCCTGTTAGACAACCTGGGAGAAATCATGCAGGATTGGAAAACGTTTACGTAGAACAATTCAGCACCCTCGTGCATTCATTTGCCTTAACAAAGGAAATACAATTTGCTGGGGATTACCTGTACCAAACATCTTTCCAGTAACTTTGATTCAGGCCGTGGGAGCATCATCCATTAACGCAATACCATACGTCTTTTCATAGCGGTACAGCAACTTGTATATGGAACCCTAATATATAACCCACTGTCAGCCTAAAGCCCTAGCCAGCATCCCGAACAGATGCTGCCCAGAACTACAGCCGCAACCGGCAAAGATCAGTTACATGTCTCCGTAGGCTCAGCACAGGCAGGAAAGAGAGATCTGCTTTACTCATCATCATTTATAAAAATCAATATATTCGCCTTTGGCTGCTGTGTACCAGAACCGTATTAGCTGTCAGTGCCACATACACAGCAGCACCACTTCATGTTTAAATGCATTGTTCCATAAAATAAAACCTGAGCAAGAGAAAGGTGCCATCCATTAAAATGTATCACAGCCAACCATTACTGGAAGAGATGGACAGGACAAAAATGTTAGCAACAGTGCCTGAGTTAAGAAACACAAGAAAACGTAAATCCAGCAACACTCAATTTTGATCTGAATGATACTTAAATTCTGTTTTTCTTTGAAGTCGTTCAGGGTACTTCAGCAGGCCCTTCACACACTCTCCAAGAAAAGCCAGAAAAGCAGAATATTATTGCGAGCAGAGCCAGAAACGGTGTGTACAGCTGATTTGCTGTGAACTATTTGTGAGAACTGTGCATCTGAGTCCTACATTTTAGCTTTATCAAATAGTGGGCAATTACTTATTTGGCAAAGGGGAGCTGAATCAGTGTTTCCTACAGCTACTTCCCACAGCTCGTTTATTGTCATCTGTTGGTTTTCCCTAATTTGAGGCTTCATCCTATTCTCGCAAATGCCTGTGAGAAACTCATGATGATTTCGAAGGTATTGTAGTCTATGAACCTTCAGGTAGAAAACCCTTACTGTATTTATCTGTGAAGCACCACCTATAGATGAGTACATAATTAATGTCTTCTCTGATAATACCATCATCAAGCAGTATTTATAACCAACTGGAACTCAGTAAAGAAGCTGAAATGACAGCGTTTCTGCTGTTGGAACCACACAAAGGCCACGGCCGCAGGATGGGTGCCCAGGTCCCTCCATCATGGATGTTTGGTATCAGCATAGCTCCACGCTTGATGGGTGCTGCAGCAAAACTCAGATCAGGACTGGGGCTGCAGTAAAATAAATCGTGCGCTCAGAAGAACTTGGTTGCAACGTACTTCTGTTTCATTGACACTCCTGCTTTGGGATGAGATTCAGAAGACTCTTGGGTCCCTCCAAAGCTATTCAGATGACAGAAAAGGACTGAGCGAAACTTGGCTTCCTTATGACACAATTTTTAAGACTTTCCCAGCTGCTTAGCTCCTGTAGGTTCAGAAAACAGTATCTCCAGCTTCTAAATTGTACACGACTATGTCCTGAACCATACAAGCCAGCTCTCTAGCTAGCAGTAGAACAGAGTTATGATCTTTGAGGACCAGAAGATGACCCATAGACTGAGCTCAGCTTGGGCTTGACTGTGCGGTTCAAGTAGCCTTAATGAGGTTTGGCAGCTACAGCCAGGAGACTCCCAGGAAGAGCTGAGTTCTGCTTCGGCAGGGCACGGGTGTTTCCAGTTTTCCTCTGCAGAGGCCCAGCTCTGATTTAGGATGTGAAGTAACTGGTTGCTCCTTACATGCATTGGGAATCATCAGCTCTTTAACCAGTCTTTAGGATTTGCATAAGCATTTCAGGATCAGGAGCAGAATACAAAACATACCTTTACTTGAGTGCGCCCCTTTGCAGACTATGCAACGTAAGAGCTCAGGACAAAAAAATCCTCCAGGCATTATATAGGCCAAGCTGCTCCTTCAGCATGCTAAAAGCCATGAAGAAGTTACAACTTTTGCACACGTAGCTCTGTTTATTTTAGTAAGTGACTGAACACTCAAAAAAATAATTTAAGTCCATTCAGCAACATGAGCATTAACACTCCAATATGCATTTTGAAGGAAAAATAAAATTTGGAATTAATAGTATTCCTAGCGTGTTGTTGTTAAAACACTGTCTATGAATTATTCATTTCTGTTAAGAAAGCACTACTTTACAAAAGGGCTAAAAGCTCAGCAAAGAAAGAACACCACTAATCCAAATATTAAGCTTTTTCTGTAACATGCTTTGATCTCCGAAATCCATCTGAAGGAATCACTTTATGGAAGTTAAGAGCTTTTTTCTTTTTGACCTTAAGTGAATCTGATTCAAATATACATTATGGCTCTCAAATCTTAAAGACCATTAGCTGTACATCTAATGCACATCAGAAGCCTGGGAAATAATGTCACGAGCTTATTTTGAATAAAAGCTTCAACGCATTTCCTGACGTCAATACTCAAAGGGGTTTTTAAATCATATAAATTAAGAAAAAAAAGGTCCTAATCCTTTCACTTGTTGTATGCTGGTGAGCATTACCGGCTATAGAAAACCTCGCTGAAGTTACTGGAGTCACACAAGCATTAAGGGACCTGTGGATACAAGATGGAGACAGAGGCATATACTAAATGATAAAAATAGTCTTATTTTTTTTTCCTTCAATGGGATGTAATTATGTTACTAAAAGTAACTTCACCAGAGGATTGGTATTTAGTTATTTATCCATTTCTTAAGAATCCTGTAACTCTCCCCAGCTCTTCGACAGCTCTACATACTCCTCCTCTCTCTGGGGTTAATGTTTCCTATGGCTGAATTCTGAGAGTCTGAATTAATTAATAAAATAATCCCCCAGGCATCTGTCCACTTGGTTTCCTAAACTGCTTTTTTCACTTTTCAGTATTTTGTAAACAGCCTGCTTTGTTCAAAAATTCCAACACCTCAGGACCTTGAGAGTGTCCAAAATCACCTCCAAAGGGTTCAGAGCGGCTTGGGGCGATCCCGGCGCCCTCTACCCTTGCTCGGGGGCTGCTTCTGGGACTGGGGGGAAGCAGGGGGCGGGGGAAAGGGGGCAGGGGCTCAGGTGGGGACTCACCGCCGGCGCCACACGTGTGGGAGCACTGCGACCAGGCTGACCACGCCGAGAGCCGGCAGTCCACCGCGCACCCCACCACGCACCGACTGCTCGTCTGCAGGGGCTTCTCCAGGCGAAGCTGTGAGATGAGAAGGAAACACAGGTGTCAGCCTACCCAGGCCCCCCCGGCCACCTCCTACCATGGCTGGGCACCAACTCCAGAAACCGAAAATTGGCAGGGACTCCAGTGGGTTGCCAATGTTGTTGCTTGCAGGGACTTTTCTGAGGGTGCCACTGGTGAAAGCATTTTCAGTGTTGAAGCATTTCACGTCTATGAGTCCTTCAACGTTTGGGTCTTACTCTGAAAGGACAATCCCAAACTTCTAGTAGGGCACAATCTCGCTGGTGGCCAGCTTTGATTGAGCTATGGTGCAGGGTCTACAGCTGTGCCCCATGCCTGCTACTCCAACCCCAAAACCTCCCCTTTGAGTCAAGGAGTGAAACCACCCACTAACTCCCTGCGGATGCTTTGGTTGCCCAAAGCACCCAACTGCTGCGCTCCCAGCACCAGACACAACTTCTCCACCATCTATGGACAGTGTCTTGGCACGGATCAGCACGCACCGGCTTCCTAGAAACAAAATTAACCTCCGGGCGTTCCCTTGCCCCACACGCGTGCCATCCTCACCCGCTGGCATTGCTGCATGCTGACGATGGCCCCGTCACTGCGCTGGCAGCTCAGGAGACGCCGCCGCTCTCCCTGCCCACAGGCGGCATTGGCACCCAGCTGGCACCCACTCCAGCCTGCGGACACAAAGCAAAGGACGCCATGCAGCGGGTTGCAACCCACATTCGGTTTTCACATCTTTTCACTCAACACACGGGGTTACCTTCCCCAAACGCAGCGCCTCCCCATGCCAGGTCATCCCAAACGCAAGAACAACCCCCACAAAAGAAAGTTGCTCCTAAAACCGAGCAAGTCGTGGAGGAGAAGCTCCTTACTTTGCACTCAGCTATCCCCTTAACAAAACCAGTACCTCAGAGTGCACAGCAAACTGTTAAATGCTGATAAAGTGTATCAGTTCAGCCCAGCTGGCGCATTTACAAGACTGTATTGTCTGAAGTAAAATTTCACTTTGATAAAGCAGCTGGGGAAGTTTCTGAAGGGTAACTCTGGTTTAACGTATTTCTTGTCTCAAGGCAAAGCTTTCTGTTATTTAAAACCAAGCCCTAATACTCGTGAAATAAAAATGGCATTTCTAGTAGAAGAAAATTCGTGTCTTATTACTTGTCTGAAATTACGATGGTCAGGATACAACTAAACTAAAATAAGCCTTAAAACGCCATGTAAAATTAAAATAAAAAAGCGGGACACAACCAAAAAAAATTTCCCTACCCCACCAACAAATGGGACGCATACGAGAAGAAAACCTATTGCTTTGTGTCTTCCACATCTGATAAACATGAACACATAAATGTTCTGCATTTCTGAAATGTGATGATAAAAAAGGCATCGTCTTGCTGCCTCTGTGTTTCTAGGGCTTTTATTTCAAACAGGCTGAGTTTATATTCAGATATAACATTTTCTCCCGCTTTGTTCTCCCTTCCCACCAGCCCCCAAACTCCTCTTAGATCTCCTCTCTTCTCTCTCCCTTTCTCATTTATCCGAGCTGGTCAAAGCAAAAGCATTTTTTCCCCTTTTTTATTTATTTTTTGTTGTTGTTGTTGTTAGCTTGCTTGCAACAGATCTAATTGCTTCTAAGGTCCTAAATAATGCATTTGCTCTGAATATCCTATGCCCACCCATATAACCCGTATTTGCCTTCAAACCAGACTTTTGCTGGTAGTATTGGCTTCACCAGAATCACACTCTCTTAACTGGGATTTTGTAATTAATTCTGTTGATAACCCACCAAAAAGAAGAGATCCCACTTAACCCATTTTATTTCCAGTGTACCTGCAAGGACAACTTACATTAAAAATTGTGCATTTGTCCACTAAGTTGTGGACGAAAAAAAATAAATATGTAGGCATGTAATTAGCTTTAGTGAAATCAGTGATGTCTACACATAACTCTTTTGATGTCAAGGCTTTAACCAACACCACAGGCAAACATAACCAAAAACACAACAGGAGAAAGCTTTTAAGGAGCTGAATCTTTTATGCAAAGATATCTGGAAAAGCAGAACATCAGCTTAATATATGTTGTAATTGGTGTCTCCTCCTGCCAAGAGTATACTGGAAAGTTATACCTACCTGTTAGATTGTATTGATACTGGAAGCAATTTTGGTTAAGAATACATGGCTTCATTTGTGAGTCTTCAGGGCAGGGCTTTGCATTGACAGAAGACCTTAGCACTTGTCGAGTTCGGGTTTGCATAATATTCGGATCACACACCTATATGCAAAAGTGATGGACAGTACAAGAGACCCTAGTAAATCATACAGACAGACACTGACAGCCTGGGGTTCTCACATGCACATCCGCAGCCATACCGAGGTACGACGTAATCACGCTTCTGTTCTGAAGATATTTAAAAGCATATGAAGGAAAAGAAATGCAGTTCAAAGGTAAGAATCCAATATGACTAAAAGTCACCTTTTGTCCACCCTGACTTGGCTTTTTTAGGCACTCCTATACTATCTATTTACACAACCTTTTGTAAGGATCCTTGGGGACAGTGGGATAAAGACCGTGCCATTTCGCTGTGCTCTACTCTCCACCTCTTCCCAAGCCTTCTAGTAAAATGCCATAGCACTGGACAACGGGACATGATTTCTGGCACAATTAATGCATTTTTAAGTAATAACTGACATTACAGCAAAACTTTCGTTTCTAGGAAGGATGTTTGTAATTGCAGATCCGTTATGATGCTGACAAGAAGACAGAGTGACTTTTCAAAGTCTGCGATACAAACACCGACGTTGGCCTAGAAATCAGGATTTGCTTGTTTACATTTTCATGTGAATATGAACCAACTGAGGCTGGTTTTCATTTGTGTTTGCACATCACAGGCATGAACATTGGTTGGTTCTAGCAGTCCCCCATCCTCACTCTCTTGCACTGTTTTGCTTTCCATTTCAGCTGCAGACTTAGCGATAGTGACAAAACATTTTCTGCCTTGCAGGAAACATCCCCTTTACGTAGAGGAAAGCATCTGCTCATCCCCACAAATCCCCTCCCGCAGCCTCCTGCTTACCCCTCCTCTGCAGAGAGCTCTGCTCTTTGGACGTCACACGGCGGTGTCACCCAGCCAAGCATTTCTTATGTTTTTCCCTTGGTTTACTGAATTCGGGGACGTAGCATAAGCACTGGCTGGGCCACAGGGAACACGGTGTCGCTGCTGGTGTCCCCAGCCCGGCTGTCCCACCCACGTCTCGTGCCAAGGGGAACTATTTCAGGAGGAAGGAATCACAGCGCCAAAGATTAAACACCTGTGCCACCGGGCAAGGCTATTTGGTGATGAAGGGCACTAAGGATTGCTGCTTTGTCTCACTGAATGAAATCACAAGGAAAAGCCTAATCAAGCTTATTCGGAAGGCAGGGTGAGTACGGCTGCAAGGCTGGGGCAGAAAAGCAGCCCCAAGGGTAGGGGCTCCAACCCGCTGAAACTCAGCAGAGTTTTCCTGGAATCCAGTACAGCGGGAATGGGTGCACGGAAGCGGTGGAAGCAAACCTAATGGAAATAAATCCCTATTAAAGGTATTCACAGCCATTTACTGAACAAGATGACCTATTTAATTCCTAACAGTCTCTCATTAGGACTAAAGATTGCTCAGGAATAGCAAAGAAAACCAAAAAACCAATGCACATAGAAATAAATTTTCATAAATGCTTGGGAATTTAAAACATGATTTTTCTACAGAGTACTTTAATTACAAATAATAACTAACAGTGTAAATCCACAGGCTTATTATCATACAACAAACTGCCTGCAAACACTGAACCCTGCACGGGTGAAAGTATGGATAATTCCTGTATTGTGAATATTAAAGAGAAAAGTAATGGCACCGCAGCATAAATCTAGATCTCAGACTGCTGTAAACTGGATAGGTTGCACAGATGATAGCATAACTAAACAGAATAAATATCAGGGCAAATAGGAAAAAAGTCTGGTCTGGCCTTAAAATACATTGTCAGATCCTATTTTCCCTGTGCTTACACTAAGTGAAGGAAATTCTATTACGTTCTTATTGCTGACACACATCTTGTCAAATCATTTTAAATTATAATCTTATTTGAATATCCATGGTCATCTAAAATAACCTTTTGCTCTTAATTATCTGAAAATTAAACCTATGCTAAGTGTTTATCAATACTTTACTGCCTTTTCCACAACTAATCTGATTGTTCATCCTCACAACTAACATTGATAACTTAAATGATTCGCCAGTAAAACAAAACAAATGAAACAAACAAACAAAAACAATCAAAGAAGGTATCTCGGTAACTACTCCTAATTAATGCTTCTCTGCGTTATGTTACCAAAGGGAAAAAAAAAAATCAATGAATGCTGTGAAAGAAGTTAAGTCGATGCCATCTCAGAAATACTTGCTTTTGCTCCCTTCAAAATGAGAACCTGCAGATGGAAAATATGCGTCATTTGTAGATAAGTAACTTCTTTTAATAAAATAGTATTTTTCCCCCCATCTAGCGTGCGCCCCGCTGCGCTCGATTACTGGGCACTGACCCAGCTCAGCGCTGCACAGGCGGGCCTACATCTGCCCAGATTTCCTGGCGAGCAGGACCACTCTGCCCCTCAGATGTCCTCCTGGTGGCTAGCAGACCAGCTTAACAGCCGTGACTCAACCAGGTCAAAGTCTATCTTGTGTTTGCCAGAGCCCAAATAAGCGACCGCTTTACTGCAGCTCTGAGGCTGGCGTTCTCACCGTGCCGACGAGCCATGTTGTTCGGAGGCCAGAGCCGATGCGATAAGCTCCCCACTTTTACTAGTTTTGAATAATAAAGAATCTCTGTAGGAAAAGTGTTCATTTCATCAAGCTGAGTACACGGGCAACATGCAAAAATTCAAAGTCGGCAAACTGTAACTAATATCCTGTAATATTATTTGTTGAATTTCTCTTTACGTCAATTGAGAAGTCAATTTAGTTTTATAATTGATTTTCTGGCCTTACTCTTTCAAGTTAACTATGTAAAAATTGAGCCAAATATACATGGAACTGAATAAGCGGCAGGAGGGAATGACTTGCAAAGAAAAAGATGAAAGCTGGGATTTTCAAAGGAGCAAGACTGGGCTGAGTATTCAGCTACCCTGGAATCTCAATGGGCTTGGGTGCACAACTCCTGCAGGACCCCTCCAAAATCCTGGCTGGAAAAATTAAATATTTACGACGTGGCAAAGGTTGAGAAATGGTTTGGCAGACTCAAAGTCATTAAGGGATGACAACGGTAAGAGTTAAAGAGGAGGGATTGTTTCTAGGGGGGAGATGCTGAGGGTATTAACAAGCAATAACGGAGAGAAGTGTGTAAGCTGCATAGCAGGAGGGAGATATTGTGTCACCATTGCCACCATTGCCATCACTACCAATGGTACGTATCTAGTCCTGAATTTGGATCTTAAAAATTCCTGAGAGGAAAACCAATCGCCATCAATGGCAAACGACATTTTTAGGAGGTAGGACAGAAGCAGCAGTCAGTAGTATTATAGAAAAGGCAGCAAAATAAAGAAATATTACTTAAGTAATTAAGGTAACAATTATCACAGAATGAATTAAGATTTGGGCAAGATTACAGAAGGGGTTGATTCTGAATGTTCTCACAAACGAAGAAAATGACAAAACCAACTTGACTGTTCAAACACTTTTCCATATGAAACAGTGAAGGTGCCATTCAGACACATGGATCAAGACTAGATCTGCTCTACCCCACGAGGCATCCGAGTTTCTTATCACAAGCACATATGCGTCTACAATTTTGGAGGCTTTAAATAAATAAACCCCACTGTGATTCAGCAATCCTTTACTGAGTATCTTCATTTACAACTCCTCTCTTCCCACTAAGTGGATGCTATACTTTCAAAGACATTATTTTACTTCCTGCTGTTCTATTAATAACAACTACTTTCACTGATCATAGATTAAGCTTTTTTTTAATTATTTTTACATTAAGTCAGCCATTACCTCCTGTGAGGTAGTAACAACCGGCTTGTGCTCAGCATCAGCCAACACTTCTTCTACAGTGGAAGCGCAAGGAAAGAGGAAAAGATGCGGCCAACAACACTGCTAAGGGAAAGGCTGGTACATACAACGGAAGCATTCAGCAGTGGGAGTTTAACATTGACTTCTATTTTTTGAGGTCATCTCCTTATGGTCATGCTACTTATTTTTATGCCTGTGGTTATAAATCCTGTGACTAGTTTCCATAGTTGGGAAATCTGGTATGTAACGATGGGATAGAACTGGGCGTAACAGCAAATCTCCTTACGCAGAAATTGAAAGCCAAGGTGATAGACTTAGATTGCAATGATTTATTAAGGTAGATTTAGGCAGTGTCAAAGCCAGGTGATGGTTGAACTGAGCACACTGCAGAACCCCATGCAGGTGCTGAAGCTCTCCACGCGCACAGAGCTTGCTGATCTGTGCCGAGGTCCAGATCAAGGAACTCTTGCCCAGACCTCATGTAGAGGAAAGCAAAGAAAAGAAGGTGGGATGAAATTCATCTTCTCACCTGGGTCTCAGCTCTAGGGACGTCTCCAGCAAACTGCAATGAGAACAACTCTGGAGACTCAGGCACCTTCACCTGATCTTTCCAAGAAACTAAGACTTTGCCAGAGGGCTGTTGCTACCAGGAAGGACAAGGAATTCTTGCTGCAGCCTGGGGACCATCAGAGTTTAGTACCTGCTCAGCAAGTGGAAAACCTCTGTCCAATTTTTGCTTCTATTCTGGACAAGTGAAACCCACTTCCAACACCACCCAGGCTAGAAATAGATGAAAGATGTATGGATCAGAGAAGGACGATGACTATGGGTGCCAGTTGGCCATAAATATGAGAGGAAACAAGTCCTAAGAAATGAAGGTAGCTGTGGTGCATGGAGATAGAAGGTCAGAGGCCTGGAGAACTCTGCGCACCTTCAAGGTCAGGTGCCGACTCAGTTTGGCAGTTAAGTTTTACAGACTATGTGGTTTGTTGGATTTAGTCCAGATTCCTTCTTGATGACTGTAAGCAACAGGGTGTATAATTCAGGCATGTGCTTCCTTTAGTACCGATGATAGGAACAGAATTAATTTCTGGTTGGAAATAATAATGGGGACTTAACTCAGGTCGCACATGAATAGCCTACAGCAAGAGGACCTCATACACAGACAGACACAGTTAAGTTTCTTTACATGTACAACTGCACTGCCTCAGCCTACTTCATTATCTTTTTTTATGAAGT